AAAAAGTTGTCCTTGGAGCCCTTGGCAACCAGAACTTCACTCAATGGGTATGTGCAGTCCTGCTCGGGTGTTACTTAAACCTGGAAACATCTTTTACCTTCAGGTCAAGTGCAGACTTGCCTAAGCAAAGCTGGTGATGTCAAAGCCTGGTTCAAGGCTTAGAAATGTGTGTGGGGAAAGGAAAGAGAGAAGAAAACAAAGGAGAGGTGGGGGAAATAAAGAGAGAAGGGGAACAGGAGGGGAAAACACGCCCAGAGAACAAAAGAGAGCTGTATGTGACTGGAAGGGTAGGGTGGCACCACTCTTCGGTCTCTGTTAGCGCCATCATTACCTAAGTCTATGGAAGGAACTTTCCAAAACACAGAGATGCTTTGTGGGTCTGGCTCTCAGAACTTATGCAACCAATTGTTTTGGGAGCAGCCTGTAAATTTCACAAGAGAGCTGAGTTCTCAAAGATTGACAGTTTGACCAAAAGATCAAAGGTTTGGTGCAGTGGGGCTAATTTTCAGAAAGCCTTCCAAATTGTGAAGATTTTCCTCCTTGTTATGGCAGTTAAGAAATGTGAAAATAGTAATTTGAGGCACTTATAAGCAGCTTTCTTCTTTGTTCACAACGTTCCACAAATGTCAGTCCTCACCAAACCTGTGAAAACAAAGTAGGCAACCAGGATGATTACCCCAAATCACTGATAAAAGGAGAGAGAAATACAGAAATATGCAGCAATTTGTTGGGCTTTCCAGCAAGAGAAAGTTGCAAGGTTGGATTATAGATATTATCGCCTTCAGCTTGACCAAGTTCATAGGCAGTGTTGCTGTGTGTGGGCAGGCAGGAAGGAGGAACTGCATGATTAAGAGTGAGATGAGTAATAGTCAGATGGGGTGGGGAGCAAACTCTTAACAGTTATTTGAGATTCTGAGTGCTCCAGATACCTTTATCAAACCACTAAGAAGATCTCAAAGCTATACATGAGACCTCGGTGAGGGAAGGTGTGATAAACAGAAGCTAATACAGTCTGTTACTAGTGAAACATGAGAAATAGCAGCTCTCTTATTTTTTACTGTTTATTTAATGAATAGGAGGTGATGTAGATAATCCAAATACTGGTTTAGCAATCCCTAATAACCAAGAGATACTTAATATTTATTTGAAAGTTAAAATCTGGAAGCAAAACCCCATTTCCCTCAACATTCTATAAATCACTGTTTTGGCTGCTGAGAAGAACTTGGAGTAGGGGACCCATAGAAACCCTGCAGTTGCACCAAGGCTTTCCAGGTCACTGTTTCTGCAGTTTGGATCAGGCTTCACAACTGAACCTGGGACTTATTAGGCCAGGAAGTCAAGGAGTTAGCATATGTTTTTATTATAGTAAACTTACCTGGATTTAAAAGGCATTAAATATCTCTTGATTTCCCCCCTTCAATTGTACAAGATGTTTTAATTCAATATTGTAACTGAAAACCTTCACTCTGTGCACTGATCACCTGGAGCTCTGTTTTCAACTCTCCCAAGATCCCCCAGTGCAGGCCTTCCTCTATGAGTCCTAAAGGGAGGACCCTTTAAGCCTGTAAAGCTCCATGAGCCCAAGATTTCCTGCACGGAGTGCTTTTGGCCACAGTCATCCAGTTTAGCTCTCTCCATTGTTTAGTTACCCAGACAACAGCCAGGCCTCCTGTGCCTTGTGGATCAAGTCATCATTACCCAAGTTAATGAAAATAAAAATTCTAATTATTTACACGGAATCTATCCTGGTGATATATAGCTCCTTTCCATCATAACTGAAGAAGCTTAACCTTGATATGCAAGGCACATTCTGGGTTTAGATAACAAAAGAGCAGATCAGGACAGGTCAGGTAATAGCCATCTCAATTTCACTCGCAGGGACACTAGCACTATTATCAGCTCCCATGGCAATTAAATTAGATGGTTTTTCCAGAAGGAGTGAGCATTCAGCCATAGTAAACTTACAATTTACAATGGAAGTTTCCAAAAGTGACATGTGTTTCTCCTCACTTACTCCACTCATAATTCCAATTAAGAACATACTGATTAACCCCAGAACATAGTTTCTAGGAGAATCTTCTATTATTATGACTAATTTCATGAACTCAGAGAAAAGGGAGAAGCTTATAATTCATTACGGCAAATTATGCAAAGCTAAACCTCTAACAGGCTGTATCTATAAAAAGAAATGGGATTGTGCAGTATTTATTTTTTTCTGGAAGGGTGGAGCGGGGGAGCTCTGCAGTCAGAGGCTGAATGAGAGAACTGCTTCAGGACTGCCTTGTACACACATCCATTCAAGTAGGAGAAATGCTAAGTATCCGGCTGAATTTTGCCAGTGTATTAAGGCATTTCTTGTAAACACATTTAAGAAGAAAATAGTGGCCACAATTAATCGAAGCACATACATATGAAAGTGATAAAACACAGTAGAATTGCAGAGCCAAGACAAAACAGATGCATGAGAAAAACAAATTCCCCCAAAGGTAAGTTGTACCACAATGTTTACCTACCCCATCTATGCCAGTGCTGCTCTATCTAAGCCATCTTGCTAAAATCCTGACTTCCTCCCATGCACCTGGTCAGGCCACTTTCTCACAGCTACTACGGTGATTAGAAAAACAAATTGGACCATGTTTCTCCTGCTTAAATAAAACTTGTCAAAATTCCCATAGCATTTTGAATAAAATACACATTTCTCTCAGATCTCATTTCTTTTTTTAACGATTTTTAAACTGATTTTTAGAGAGAGAGGAAGGGAGTAGGAGAGAGAGAAATATCAATATGAGAGTGAAACATCGATCAGCTGCCTTCTGCACGCTCCCCACTGGGATTGAGCTTGAAACCTGGGCAAGTGCCCCAATGAGGAATTGAAGTGGCAACCTCTCAGTGCATGGGATGAAGCCCAACCAACTGAGCCACACTGGCCAGGGCCAGATATCATTTCTTATTTCTTTCTCAGTCATTATTCTCCAACATCACTGATCAATGTTCTGTATCTATAAAGTTTTTCTGCCTCAAGGCCTTTGCCTAGAGTTCTCTCTCCCCTAAATTGGACCAGGCTATTTCCTTCTAGCAGTTCAGGGCTCAGTCCCTTTTAGGCATCTCATCAAAAGTAGCTGGTAGATTATTCTTCACCACATTCTCTGGTTTCACTTTCTTCATAAGTCTCTCATTACCTGAAATTATCTTTATTTGTTGACATGTTTACTGCCTTTCTTCCCCACTAGAATGGAAACTCTAAGATCAGAAACCTGTTTGTCTTGTCACTGCTGTATTGGCAACACTTTACATAGATAAAGTAATTGTGCAATCTGGGAAAAAGGACTTACTATTTTGGGGGTAGGATTGTGATCAGGATTGTATGAAGTCAAGGGTGTAGTTTTGGCCAGATAGAATCAGGAATGGCCAAGGGATAGATGGCAAGGTTATGGGCAGTATGATATTGTAGAAAGAGCATGAACTTGGAATCAGACCTGAGCTCAGATCCCAGCCTGCCGCTTACTAGCTGTGTGACCTCGGGCAAGGTGCTTACAACTTTCATGAGGCTCATGTTCCTTATTTATAAGGAATAGAGAGCAAACAGCGTTTATAAATAACTATTCAGTGTTGTAAAGATTAAATGACGTAATATATATGAAGTGACTAGATCTGTGCCTTCCACAGATAGGCTCTTGATAAGTGGTAAGTTATTGTAACAGACATGATTTGTTATCTCCCCAATTGTTGTACTTCCTTAGTGGGGCTGTGATTTTGTTCAGGGCAGTAATGCCTAGGCCCACATGATAAATCATGTTTGATTTAAGCCAATCATGAGTAACCTGGCCCTTTCCCAGCCTCCTTTGCAACTACAGTGGTCATGTAACCCAATTCTGTATGATGAAACTAAGGGGAAGTTGCCTGTGTGTATGTGTATGTGTATGTGTATGTGTATGTAAGGGGGGGGGGGCTTCTATGGATGTTTCTGCTTGACTGATACAAGAACAGACATCAGTGGTCTGTAGATTATCCTCTTCTTTCTGCCAGGGATGTAGAAGTGATGGCTTATGGTGAAGCAACCATCCTACAATCTTGAGAAGAAGCCTTGCCATTTTTGAGCCACTGAACCAACACCAGGCACCACTTATGTGCAGACATTTTGTTGTCTGAAAACAATAATCCCAATATTTACTTAAGCTACTGTTAGGTTACCTGTTACAGAGAGCATTCCTAACTGATGAATGTGTCTGTGTCTGTGTGTATGCACGTGGATGTGGACAAGTGGAGCATTTAAAGGCAATGGTAATAAGAAATGTTACTTGTACCCAAAGTTAGCTGGTTCAATGTCATCTGGATTTTTACCTAATGAAAGCTGGGATGGCTTGCCAATTAATTTGAAGTCACACTTTAAACATGGCAGAGGTTAAGAATCTGGATTTTAAAATTTCATTAATTAAATTTTGGGCGGTGGGAGCGGCTGGGGAGAGGTCAATAGGGGAAAAAGGAGACTTATGTAATATTTTAAACAATAAAGAATTTAAATTTTAAAAAATAAATTAAATTAAATAAATCTGATGTTTAGGATATCAGTCCCCTCAAAGCACTGGCTGTGTTTTATTGTGGAAAACAATAGTATGTGTATTTATCTAGAGCCAAGTTTAAAAAGAAATCTGCTCTTCATTTTTAATGTTAACCTCATTTTATTTACTTTTATAAAAGGCAATAATATTCTGCTTATATTTTTGGATACTTGAGTAAAGAGCAAACAGCATCTATAAAATGCTGTATTTTCAAAAACATGTTAGATTTAAAAAATTTAAAGTGTTTATGAGATATATGGCTTAACAACTGACACTTAAATTACAAATGTTCTATTGTACTACGTATTCTGTAAAATATACCATTCTATATGGAATATATTATTTAAAAAATATATCATTGATTTTTAGAGAGGAAGGGAGAAGGATAGAAAGGATAGAAAGATAGAAACATTGACGGGTTGCCTCCTGCACGACCCCCACTGGGGATCGAACTGCAACCCAGGCATGTGCCCTGACCGGGAATCAAACCGTGACCTCTTGGTTCATGGGCTGAGGCTCAACCACTGAGCCACACCGGCTGGGCTGCCCTATGTTTTTATAACTGTTCTATTTTATTAGTTATTGTTGTTAATCACTTACTGTGCCTCATTTATAAACTAAACTGTATCATAGATATGTATGTATAGGAAAAAAACATGGTATATATAGGGTTCAGTACTAACCGTGGTTTCACGCATCCACTGGGGGTCTTGGAACAGATGTCCTGTGGATAAGGGGGGACTACTGCACCCTTACTATTTTCATTCCCACCTTACAACCGTGGATACTGACTCACAGAGATGCTGAATACTTTGATCCAATAGAACTCAAGGGTGAACCAAGGGAGTCTGGCTCTGGATTCTTCTCCCTGTCCACTGCGCTCTGCTGCCTCCCAAGTTGTATTACTCATTGTATTACACATCAAATGCCATATGAGCTTAGTTATATTACTTGTTAACATGTACTGAGCTACATTTCCTAACACATTTCCTACTCATTCTTTTATCTGGGTATTTAAAGATATTTTCCCACTGATTATCCCATATACTTTGGAATAAATGGACTTACCACCCTCCCTTAGCCTATTCTCCCCAGTAAGCTAACAAATGAAGAAATGAATCACTGGTCCCCTGTGCACTCAAAGAACAATTAGAACAAAACTCCTTCTGAAGAGAATTCCAAACTGAAATTCTTACCCACCTTAAGAACAAAAGAATCAGTAGCCCTTTAGGGATATAGGAGGAGCCATTGTATGGGCCACATTCAGCCTGCAAAACTCAGCTCAAATTCTGCTGTTTCTATCATTTCATGGCCTGGGTTTCCGGGGTGTGTATATCTTCCTCCATCTGTGGGGAACCACACAAGTGCTATCTTTCCCTTTGTCTGTCTGTCACTGTGACTCAGGAGACAGGGACAAAGATGAGCACAACTGACCTAGATTTTACAGATGGAACGAAAGTTTCTGAAAGGATCAGGACAGAATCTGTGCTACCATAAGGCTGATGATGAGGTGGAAAAAAAAGGGATAAGAGAAAAGCAAAACTCAGAAGTAGTTAATGGAAGAAATCAGAGAATATGAGAATAAAACATGCAGAGAAGAGCGAAAGTCAGGGGGTGAGGGCCTGAGGGTGGAATGAGTATCTGAAGAGTGTCGGAGAAGAAAAAGTCTGCTTCCCCCAGTCTCACTTTCGAAATACAGTTTTTTGTTTTTTTAATTTTTTAAATTGATTTCAGAGAGGAAGGGAGAGGGAGAGAGAGATGGAAACATCAATGATGAGAGAGAATCATTGATTGGCTGACTCCTGCATACCCCCCACTGAGGATGGAGCCCACAACCTGGGCATGTACCCTTGATTGGAATTGAACCTAGGACCCTTCAGTCCACAGGCCGATGCTCGATCCACTGATCCAAACCAGCAAGGGCTCGAAATACAGTTTTAAGGAGGCTGCCCAGAACTGTCTCTCTGCTTGGATGCTCCTTAGGCATCAAGGAAATAAACAATTAAGCCTGGCCTTGGCCACATTTTTATTTCTCCCGGCATTTGTATTCTCTTGCCATTCTCCAAACCTTTGATATTTTTTCCTTAAGTGAATCACTCACTTTCTCTTTGCAGTGTCCTGTCCCTCCTCTGAATGCTGCTGGGTGCACCCCATCAAGCAGCGGTCCTGGATCAGCTCAGGCCAGACAGCCACTGCTTTTCAGTTGTGGGGAAACCATAAAGAAGTTCCTACAACGGCAGTCCCAGCCTGCTACCCACAGCAATGTTCTTTTTCTCTCCCTCTCACTTTCAAGCTTTCCTTTTAGTTTTGTATATGGAACTTACCTAACAGAAAGAAGAGACTAGAGTTAACTTTGGGGCAAACTTAGAGGAGTTACTGTGAAATTTCTATAGCCCCAAGATGTAGACTGACTGTTGCCACTTCTTCATCTTCCTTTTACTCATTAGTGTCCTGCAAATTAGCTCTTGCCCCACTACTCCACGAAGTCTGGTCCACTAAAATTTCTAATAACCTGCTATTTCATGACTCAAATGGAGACTGTTTAGTCCTTTTGTTAAATGACCAGTCTCTGAACATATCTTTCTTCCACCCCCAAATCCTTGTTATCTTTTTTCATTTGCTCTGATAAAACCTTGAAATGCCTCTCTCATTCTATTAGACCAGCGGTTCTCAACTTGTGGATCGCGACCCCTTTGGCAGTCGAACGACCCTTTCACAGGGGTCGCCTAAGACCATCCTGCATATCAGATATTTACATTATGATTCATAACAGTAGCAACATTACAATTATGAAGTAACAACGAAAATAATTTTATGGTTGGGTCACAACATGAGGAACTGTATTTAAAGGGCCAGAAGGTTGAGAACCACTGTATTATATCATTGCTTTTAGCTTTCATTCCCATTAAACTGAAAAACCTTTAGCACTGGGACTACGTGTTAGATTCTATATTAGATATCGGTGATTCTAAAAACAACAGGTGTTATGTAGTTACGCCATTCATTCAGTCACTCATCTACTGGCTCATTCATTTATTCCTTCATTAAATATTACTTACCAATGCCACTCCATTCCTGAGGAAACAGTGAGCATGTAATTTGGCTTAGAGAGTCTGAAAACGAAAGCTATTGTCTTTTTCCCAGAGAGCTTACAGGATATTTGGGGAACAACTTCAACAGCAAAAATAGAACACATGTTTAGGAGACTAAACACTGTAACAGCCACTTTACATATACCATTATATTTAATCCTCACTGGAATACTGAAATGCAGATTTTGTTTGGAGTCAACTGATACTCAGAGGTTAAATAGCATGCCCAAGTTCATGGTTAGTAAGTGGCATTGCTCGATTTGGATCTCAGTCTGCTTGGTTCTAAAGTTCATTTTCTTTCCACATTAGGTCATATCTTCTTCTCCATTTAGTACCAGTGGTCATCTCCTTAGTAATGACTGCACTGTCCACAATTTTCAGATCACCCAGCTGTCTGTCTACTGAGCTGAGGGAATAGCTGGGACACCACTGGACCTGATGGCCTGTCCACCTAGCTTTCAAATTTCAGTTTTCTCAGATGTCTAGTGAGCTGTCGTTTATTTTTCTTCCCTTCTCGGGCATTTTGAGCCATTCAGCAGTTGCCTTTTCCATGAGGCTGCATAGAGAGAAGTTTGATTAGTTAAGCAAAGATGGGCCTGGGAAATCCTAATTAGAGACAGTCCTGTGTTCAAACAGGGCATGTAGGAGGAAAGTCACAGCTGAGAAAGTAAGGGCTGTGGGTGTGGCTGTGGCATCTGGGTGTGGGTCTTTGTGTCTGTGTGGGTGTCAGAATGCCAGCACATGTGCTGTCTGCAGCAGAAGGCATGTGTGACTGGACTGGTTCTGGCTACCACTGGGCGTTTTCATTGTTTGCCGGTCCATGTGTTCGTAGGTGCACATGTGGCTTCTCTGTGGGTGTGCCAGTCGTGTCTGTGTATGGGTTTCTCTGTATGCATGTGGGAGGGCTGAAGGAAGGTCTAACTTATAAATCGCTTTTCCAGACATCCATCTAGGGCCCACGACTCAAAGTGAAAATGCCATCTGACGTGTAAGTGAAATTTGTTACTGATATCTTCACTAGGAGGCATGGAAGAGATGGACAATGGAAAAAAAAACACCCCAATCCATTATATCCCCTTTCGTCTTCTCTTTCCAGTCTTGAAAAGAGGTTCCTCCCCATCTCCACCTCCTCCCTTACCAGTGCAGGTAAAGTACTTTTCACTGTGCTTGTGTATCATCAAATTGAATGATTATTTCTGTCTCTAAATAGGAGGAGAGCTGTGTGATCTAGAGAAGACTGGCAGGAGAAATGTCCAGACAGAGAGCACAGGGAACCAATGCCTGCCCTGCCATGTTGAATCACAGATAAACTATATGCCAGGCACTGAGCTATAATACAGTCATACCCCCTCCCCAATGTCCTGAAGTGATAGGCTAACACCCTAGAGGAGATAAAAGATAAAATAACAGAATTATGGTAGAGCATGAAACAAATCCATCAATGAAAGCAGCTATGTGAAGTGTGGAACATAAGTTCTATTTGTGCTCTATCAAAGTAAAATTTGCAAAAGTTTTAGTCAAGATGAAACATTTATGGGAAGAAAATACAGAGAAAAAAATCTATGCAAACTATCTAATGCAGAACTCCCTGTTAATACTCGAATTAGATTTTACCCCTCTCTAAACAGTTTAGTCTCTGAATTGGCTGGTGACTCATAGCTAAAAACCAACAATACTTTACTTTTACATTTCCATGGCTTTCAAATAACTAGAGGAGGAGGAGGAGGTGTGTATGTGTGTGTGTGTGTGTGTGTGAGAGAGAGAGAGAGAGATTAAAAAGAGAAAAGGAGAGATGAGAGGGAGGAAGTGAACACGCCTGAGAGATACTGATAGACTTTTATTCTTTTCTAGAGTGACAGCAATACAATCGGGACAACAGTGAGATGCTCCCTCCCAAACAGAAAGAGGGGAAATAAGATTTGCCAACAGTGGGAGTAAGCCTGGAGACTGTAAATAAGTGTCTGAAGTGTTTGGGAACACACAAAACTCCAGTCAAGGTCACCTGGGTATAATTTCAAGCAGGCCATTCAAGAATATGACTTTAATTTAGTAACTGGAACCCCACTGTATTGCACTTTATATGGAGAAAGAGTTGAGTGCACAGAAAACAGAAAAGGGAAGTGCAATTGGACAGACTAGAGACAGGGAGTCAGGAAACACAGACGCTCAGTCCCTATGGGGTGTTGTGGGCAATGATTCTTCACCCATAGCCCTGCCTCTAACATGAATAGGGAATTCTGCTGAAGATCACGCAGTATTCCCATTTGTTTTCATTCTCTGTTCACTAGGTGGCATTTTCATTATGAACTGTTCTAATACTGAAAAGATGATGGTACCCTAGATGGGGAAATATCATTATTCTAGACCCTGGGAGGAATATCTCCCAAAATAAGTGGAGAAGGGGAAGTCTATTGCATTGATAAACCCACTCTCCTGTGAGATTATTGAGACAGGCTTCCCAGGACTGATGACAACAGAGGTACACTGACAAGGTGAGGGCCAGATTCTGAACTGTTCACCTGTGAGGACTCCTTCCAGTAACTACACTGAATACTTGATCTTTCTGAGTCATTATTTGGAAAACAATACGTTTAGAATGGGATAAAACGTAATACATATTTTCAACCTTTCTCCTTCCCTGACATTAAAAACCTCCCTGACTCTAACTTGGCCAACTTCAGGCTGTTTCTTTCCCCCACTCTGCTACATTGTCCTGATTTGTTTGAATAGTTTTTGAGATTTTGTGATGAAGAACTGACAAGAATTAGGGGAGCAAGAGGAAAAAAATAGTTTTTTTGTAGAGACGTGAAAAGAGATTAGCTGTGGTCTGTGAGAAAAGTGAATTGGGATGAGAAATGCCAGTCATAGCATGGAAAAATCCCCCATATTATTATTGATACAGATTTTTGTGTTAGAGTGACTCCTTTTAGAGATTGAAGAACCTTTTTGTAAATCAAATCACCTCTCCAAACTTTTTATTGTGCCATAGATATGAAATTTCGTGAATAAGGTTTGGTGAAATGAGTGGGTATTAAATGAAGTTGAACAGGCTGAAAGAGATTATGGTTTAAATATAGGTATGAGTTCCCATTGCAAATACAACAGTCCAATACAAAAATATAAAATAAAAATGAGTGTCTACTGTGGGCAGCTAACAGCTTAGTGGGTGAGTTAATATATTCTCCATCCATGGATATAAGAGCAGAAAATCTATTTAAAAATAGAATAAAACTAAGCCTGCTTAGAACTGAAAAGTTCTGGAAGGAGTTGATAAGACAAACTATCTGACCTTGGCTTTCCTAATCTTTAATTGTATGACTGATCTTGATGGAAAGAAAAAGCAGCAGAGAAACTGCCAGGAGCAGGCTCAAAGCTGCCAGTACCTAACACCATGAAGCACTGTCTTCATCCAAATCTAGAGCATTGCTTTGTACAAGGAAGAGCTTAAAAACATCGCAGGAAAAGATGTAAGAAAGTACTCTTCTTTTTTAGCAAAAATGTGGTTACCATAGGCCACTACCATCAGAAGCAGAGGACACCATGCAGGCTAATGGAAACCAGATGCTCTGGGAAAGGAAGCCATGGATAAATATGAATTATTCTCAACTGAATGACCTTCAATTATCTCCCTTATTGTTGAGCCCTGGTTCTCTGCCATAATCTTCCTTTGGGTACCTTGAGAACAACAAAGGGACTATATTATAGAGTGATTTATGGAGGACATGTACAAGGGTCATCTATGGTACGTGAGAGAGAAAGGGAGGGAGACAGAGCTAGAAAGACAGAGACTGGGAATTCACTCAAGATCAAAAATAAAAACACAGGAAATATAGTTATGTGAACAGAGACCTGGCTAGGAGCCAGGAGTCCTGGGTTCCAGTCTTTATTTTGGTACTGACTCATTGTGACATGTTGGGCCTATTCAAAATACGTTTATTATGATCTAATCTCTTAGGGTCATTATGACAAGATTCTCGCACCATTGCAAAATGGGGCTAGTCTTTGCAGATTTCCAGGAATACCGGAGACTTGGTAGTAAGATGATGCCTTTTACGTCACACAAGCTCTATAATCTTATGTTTGTTTCTTTCTTTTTTTTAATCCTCACCCGAGGCTATTTTTCCATTGATTGTCAGACAGAATGGAAGAAAGGGAGAGGGAAAGGGGGAGGGAGAGAGGGAGGGGAAGGGGAGAAACATCAATGTGAGAGAGGCACATCAATTGGTTGCCTCCTGCATGTGCCCTGACCTGGGGCGGGGAGTGAACCCACAACTAAGGTACATGCCCTTGACCTGGAATTAAACCCGAGACCCTTAGGTCCATGGGCTGACATTCTAATTACATACAAAACCGGCCAGGGCTCCTTTTTATCATATGATATCCTTGCCCATGGTTAAACATCTTGAAAATGCCAAACATGTTGTAGATGTCAAGGCTGAATAGTCATTTTCTTGTCCCCAAATGGAACTTGTTCTTAACCAACTTCCTTTACCAAACCAACTTATTCATCTCAATGACTTTATTTTGATAGATACTGCATGCCTCTTTCAACTGGGGGGAGGTGGTGATGTGGTGGAAGGAACTCTTCATAGTAAGCAAACTATTTATGGAAAATATAATCTTTAAGAGAAGGTTCACTTGCAGACTCACTCAACCTTTTTCATTGGATTTTGCTAATTTTTTCTCAACAGTTTCACCACCTACAAGAACATCTCCACCTGTATATCTTACCAAACTCAGACTTCTCATTGACAAAGTTAAATTCATCTTGTTTCTTTTTCTTCACCCACCCCAATTCTGTCTCCTTTTCTCTTTTCTTCTACTTTAAAACAATTTCTTTTTTCCTGATCTATTTCTCTTAATGATTCACAATTTTTCCAGAAACCCAGGTTTGGTAGGGTTTCCTCTTATTAAGTTTACTGATTCTTGTCCAATAACTCTCAAGAAATCAGAGAAGATTTACTTTACGGTCCTTGACTGAGGCCTAAGGCTAAGAGGTTCTCTGGGAAATGAAGAACAAAGACCAGACCCCATCCACTTTCACCTTCTCAACAAATGTCTCTTCATTAATTTTCTCCTCTGTCTCCTAGATAGAAAAATTTCCCTTTGGGTATTTTCTGAAAACAGGTACCATGCTATTATTTCGTCTATCTTAAAAATCCCCCCCGCCCCAACAGAAACAAAACAAAACAAATACAACTCAGTTTCCTAGGACCGCAATAACAAAATGCTGCAGGCTGGGTGGTTTAAACAACATAAATTTATTTTCTCACAATCCTGAAGTTTAGAAGTTCAAGAGTTAACAACTTTAAGAAATTACTGGGTGGGACTAAGGGGGAGAGATCAACCAAAGGACTTGTATGCATGCACATAAGCATAACCAATGGATATAGACACCAGGGGGGTGAGGGCATGAGTGGGGGATGGAGGGACAATGGGGAATAAGGACACATTTGTAGTACCTTAATCAATAAAGGAAAAAAAAAGAAGTTACTGGGTTTGGTTTCCCCTGTCTCTCCTTGGCTTGCAGACCACTGTGTTCTCACATGGTCTTCCCTCTGTGTTTGAGCACATCCCTGGTGTCTAGTCTCCTTTTCTATAAGGAAAACAGTCATATTGGCTTAGGGCCCACCATAACAGCCTCATTTTAATTTAATAACCTCTTTAAGGGACCTATATCCAAGTATAGTCACATTGTTAGATACTGAGGGTTAGGGCTTCAACATATGAATTTGGGGGGGAACATAATTCAATCCATACCATAAAACAACAATAACATAACCCTGACAGTCTTTTTACCCTACTTCTCTCTCATGCTACCATCTCATTTTCTGCTACCCATTATAGAAAAACTTCTCAAAAGAGTTGTATATATTTGCTTTCTCTCTCCAAATTTTACCCTCCCATTATCTCTTAACTACTCTCCATTCAGCCGTTTGCTTTCATCAGCCCACCAAAATTACTCTGGTCAGGGTCACTAACAATCTTGATGATAAATCCAGTGTTCATTCTCGGTGTTAGTAGGGACTTAGTTTGTGTTTGTGTTTGCTCAACAGAAGAATGACTATGAAAATTTAACCATAGTGCAACCCAAACATAGTAAAATGGCCAGTAGAGGCATAGCTCCATGTGAATCATTAGTGTCATATTGGCACTTAGATCTGTGTGATTACAAATAAAATATTTCTTACACAACAGCTTTGGCCAAAAGGCCAAGTTATTTCAGTTAAGCAAATGTATGAGAAGAAACATCAACAAAAATAGGTTTTCCAAATATTCCTTGACATTAAATTCAAAACTTCATTTCACATGTGAGCCACAAATTCTACAAATAGAATATCTAAGGAGGCCCAAATGTTGTATCTGAATGATCTTTGAGACACTAAGCAACTTGAATGTTAGGTCCATTCTTTTGTTTGAAAAAGCACTTCCCATCTTTCCTCTCTCCCTCCTTCCCTTCCTCCTTTCTTTCTTTCCATCAATAAACATTTAATGAGGACCTCCACCCTGCTAGATACTATACCAGATGCTTTCATATTAGTTTCTGTCAGACCAGTTTTTACTTGTTTGTTTTTCCTATGAAAGTTTCACTGTCAATGATGACGGACAAGAGCCCTGAGTCAAGTGCCATCCAATTGCTTTATGAAGTTTTTATATAAAAGCTCATTCTTGCTCCAGCCAGGGCACATACAAGAATCAACTAATGAATGCATAAATAAGTGGAACAACAAATCAATGTTTCTCTCACTCTCTCCTTTCTTCTCTTTCACTAAAATCAATCAATCAATAATAAAAATAAAAAAAACCCACTCTTGAACCAGAGAGGTACTATTGTAAAGCTTTTCTAGGCCCTAGTACAGTGAGAATTCAAAAGAACATGATAATTTGAAGGGCTGGAATAATTTGCCCCATAATTTGGCAAGACTTGAGTTCAGGTATCCTGCAAAAAACAATAAACTTTATTCTACAGATGGTGGCACTAGAGGTTTTAAAGCAAGAAAGTAATGTAGTTAGTTATATAAACTAGAAAGACCATTACTGAAGTACTGCTTCCCATTTAGAGAATGGAAAGGAGATAATGAAAGCCCACTGCCAGCCTGCCAAGGGAAGAGAAATGGGAAGGAAGCTTTATTTTCTACCCAGTGAACGCTTGATAATACTGAGAAGCGGAGCTCACAACTTGAGAGGCAAACCAGAGGCCGCTGCTTCTCTCAATTACTCCTGACAACCGATGGAAAAAAGGCAAACCCTCACCTCCTGTGGTCACCACTGATACTCAACTGGGAATCTCACTCTCAGTAGCTACACATTTTCCTAATCATTCATCTCAACTTGACACTAGGTTCTATTGCCTTTCATGGGAAAGGTCTTGGGAGGCTGTAAACCTATGAGGTTGAGAAAAGAATGTGTTGCACTAAATGGGGAAGGAGAGGAGCCACAGATTTCCAACTTTCATAGCTTGTCTGTCTGTTCAAACTGTGCTGCAATGTGCTCTTGAAATCATTGGGTGGGCCTTGTTTCCAAGGAAATAAAGAGGCCACAGAACCTCCCAAGTGAGTGAATGGTTTCCAGATAGTCAAGTGTAGCAGCCTTCTGGCTTCATGAGCTGGATGTGCTTGGCGGTCTTTCCATGCGGCTGGCAAATATCCTGATGTTAGCAAAGCAAAAGGCAAATCTTTGGGGAGCTAAAGGACGTGTGCACATGCCAGTATTTTTGACAAATGCTCAGTTAATTGTATTCTATGATTCATCTCCTGAGACACCATCTTTGAACCAAGAACTACCTCCTCCCACCATCCAGGACCCCAGGGGAAACCTCAGGATTACACACATTTGGGCCAAGCTTCCACCCCTCAGGAAATGGAAGATCAGCCCCTGGGGTTGAAAGAATGATGGAGGGCCTGGGAAAGCAGAGAAGTCTCCTGAGTGACAAAGAAGACAAACTGATACAAATAAAGCCAGTGAATTTCTATGCCAATATGATAAACTCAGAATTTCTCATAAGGATACCAGCAAATGGTCATCAAAAGAGGATTGGGTAAATTGATGAAAAATTCGGATTATCCATAACTGGTAGATAATTTAGTATTTGGAAACCTTACCATTCCAGGGTGGAATTCAATTTGGGATTCACTTACTGGAAATCGTGATGTATACAGTGGGTTCCAAAACAAATCATGTGTGTGTTGAGGTGAAACAGAGATTTCAGCTGTGAAACCCATGACCTTCATGACTGTTTTCTTTCAGCCCTTTTACAGTTTTCCCTATGTTTCTGCCTACATCTTTCGCTAGTTATGTTCTGCTTCTGCCATTTGTTCACCAAATATTTATCGTGCACTGTGCACGATTTCAACTTATTCTGCTCTTGTTGAATTGAAAAGGTTTATAAGATGTATCCTCCCGAATGAATACTACTTGGATCAGAATCTTGCCTGTGACACAGCAGATGTTGGTTATTTGAATAATACACTAGAACGGTAAAGAGTTCCAGTTCAACTTTGACACTGCTCTAGAGATTGGCTTCAGTGGAAGATAATTGTGATTTATTTTTGTCAAAGGTTTGAATCAAGAGATTTATGCATTAAATATAAAACGTAACCACTCTATAAGATACTTTCTTGTTATTTCCACTAAAGGTTGATTTTATGAACAATGACAACTATGATTTGCTAAACCAATTTTACAAAAAGATCTGCAATCTGAGTAAGTTCCAATAAAAAACTAAAATGCTGAGTTGCTGATTTAAGGATTAGGTATTCATTCTCTTGAAATCCAAAACTCTCAAAAGAAGAAAAACTTTCTTGAAAAATAATTGAATTTAAAAGGTATTGAAATCATAAAGGTGAGGGAGATATAAAGTTGGGTTATGAATTGTAAACATCTAGGAAAATCTGTAAATAAACTTCAAAAACTATTAATGGAGTAAGAATAAAAGAGAAGACAGTAACAACAATAAGCAAAAAAATGTGTCATCAACAAATAAATGAGTCAGACAGGAATTAAAATTGGTGAATTCAGATTTTTAAAGCTGACCTAGACATTCAATAAAAGAGATGGAATAAAATGAAATAAAGGCAAGGAAAAGAGCCTCAGAGAAAGGAGAGGAAGGAGAGAAAAGAGATGGATTTTTCCTTAATAAATAAATTTAAAAAGATAAAGAACTTATTTTGAAGAATTATGTTGACTTCTGGGGGGGGGGGGGAATGTGTTTTTCATTTGTTTTAATCAGGAGACAAGTGGGTCTTTCAGAGATATTGACCAGAAAGGTTTATTGGATAAAAGATATCACTGCAGCCCAGAAATTAGTACAAGGCTATTTGTATATGGAGTATACTTCAAGAAGCAGTAGTAAAACATTCTGGAATGCTTTCTTTAAAAAAAAAAGAAGTAAAAAGCCCTCAATGAAGCCTTTTTCAGACATGTGTCTTGGGCTTTTGTTGCTGAACTCTTCCATATTAACAAACCAAGTTGCTCTTCCTTTCATTCCTTTGGCCACAGGACAGATGCAATTCACCAAAGTCTCTACCACAGACATTCTCAGATGGTGCTAATAAAAAGAAGAAACCCAAACCAGAATTGGTGGTCCACATTGTGAGAGTTGCTAAACATCATCACAAAACAATAATTATCTTGCTGCATTCTTAGTGGCTCAACATTCTGAAATGCAAATGTCAAGAGCATATATTCTGGAAGATGTTGCTAATGGGAGCTCATGTTTTGTGTTGGGTGGTCTCCTGTTGTGCCTGGTGGTCTTGTTTCTGCCTGCTCTGACAGCACTAATGGTTTCATGTAGTCCCCATCCTACACAGTATTCACTCGTCCTTCTTTAGTAATGCATGACAAGCCATAAAAAACAGACTACCCAGAAATGACACTGCAAGTATTCCAGACGTTTTGTCTCTTGGTGGTGACAGTTCCAAATCAAGTTGGCTCAGTGTTTAAGTAAAAGCATTTTTCTAAGAGGCAGCACAAAATACAGCCTTGGATCTAGAAAATCAAACAGGGCTCTTCTTGCCTCTTCCATCACTGCTTGAAATAAATATTCAACTGTTGGACCTCAGCTAGAAACTTATAATTGATGATGCAGAATGAATCCAACTCTCTTTCCCCAGATGCAAAGAACTCATCTGTTGGTTAGAGAGACTTCACCAGTTTTTAATAAGCATAGGCAGACGCTTAGAGACTTTTGTCACACTCATTTAGGATTTATTTCTCAAGGTTCTACAAAGAGTAGCAAAGGAAGGTCATAGCTACTCAGGATGTCAATATAACATCTGTTCAGAGGATCAAAGTCTCACGTACCCCAAATTAATCCAGGCAGCTATCCCAGTTTTAACTAGGATAAGAGGGTACTGGAACATTCTTCAGCATAAGCTGACCTGCAACTCTGTCCTTATCAGACCAAGAACTTAGTATCAATAGAATTTTGGGGTCGTCAATTGGATTGTGTTTGGAAAACCCAGTCCAGGTCTCCAAAAGCCACCCCTGCCAGAGTGATCTGCTAACTCCTTCAGCAGTTACTATCTTTACTTAAAAGAGAAATCTCAGCTGGCAAATTCCATTTATGAAAATTATTGAGCTTAATTATAGTGTGCTCTCTAAAACCTTTGGTAAAAGTACTCTATAATTGTAAAACCCATAACACACAATTTTTTGAGGAACGAGTATTTTGTTAAGCTATTTTGTTAAATTAAACTTTTAATTTTTTTTAGTACTTCTGTACTGGTGATAAATGATGGAAATAACTCTGTGTTGTATGGGAAAGGGCTAGTGGCATGGCAGGACATTGTTTCAGAGTCAGTTTCTGGAACACACTTCTAATCCAAAATTCACAGCACTACTAATTTATTCCTAAAGGCACCCAAATTCTTAATGAAATAAAGATCTGAACTCCTTTGGCCAAGTCTATTCAAAGCCCTCCATTGAACCCTTCCTACATTTGTGGACTTCTCTCCACCAAGAACCCCTAGTTTCAGCCCTGGATTTGGATATCACTCTGTCTCTCAAGTACTTTTTCAGCATCTTCCTTCTGCCTTTCATCTGCCTTGATTCTTCCCTGTCCCCTCTCCTCTACCTGCCACCACCCACACCTGCACTAGTCTCCCCCATTAAAACAAAAAATTCCACTAGTTATTCATGTTCGGCCAAGTGTTACATTCTTGATAAAGAGTGCCCCAACCCACTTACAAAGTGATTCACCTCTTTTTTTTGAAATCCCAAATTACTTTCTAATCAGTGCCACTCCAGAGAAAAAAGTACTCTCTCATGTAGTATAGTCCTTTGTGCACATTTTTCTTATTTCTTCCCCCAGAATAGACATTCTTGGTGGCAAAAAACTAGACTTGTTTGTTCCTGAATTATCTACAGTACTTAGCACAATGCCTAGCACATGTTAAGCCCTCAGTAAATATTTGAAGAATGAACAGTCAGCTAATAGGGCATCACAAAACCTAATGATTTTCTTTCCTGAATAATAATGCTTAACATGAAAATAATAAAGCAGCTGACATTACTGAGGACTTACCAGGTGCCAGGCAGGGCTATAAGTACATCTATTTATTGCCAGGGCAATCCTGTAACTTGGATGTTATTATCATTTTTATTGGGAAAACTGAGGCAGAAAGCTTAGAAAATTTGCTCAAGTTACACAGAATGGAACATGAAAGGGCCAGGATTAAAACCCAGGCAATCTGTCTCCAGAGCCTTCCCTCTTAATTTCTTCACCAACTTCTTGCTCCTTTCAGCTCTGCCCTAAGTATTCCAAATAAATAAAGTCTCATGCGGGTACCTTGTTTCCCAGTTAATGAAAATATTCATGTCCTCTTTTGAAAAGACCACATGTGTTGCAGTTACCAGCAGTGAGTGAGACTTTGGCCATCCTCAAAGAGAGGCACGGTGTCTGCTTGATAAAAGCCATAATTTTCCTGACCTGCTCCGGGCCTGGCCCCCTCAGAGAAAATGCAGGCAGACACTTGGCAACTGGGCTCTCCTAGACTCTCAAGCACAGAGCTGTGTTAGTGTTGGCAGTGGGGGACGGTTTGCTTCCTCCCCGTTTCATGAACTGTCACATTAGCCTCTTTGATCCTCCCAGGGTCCTGAGTGTGCCAAAATCATTACTCCACGTTCTTGCTGTTTCAGATAATTGCCAGAGAAAACGCTAAGGCCAGTAATGACCAAGGTAGGGAAATACTGCTCCCTACACGGTATACCGTTTATATACTGCATACTCAGAAAGGCTCCAGGGTGGAGGCGCTGCTTATTTTTATTGTCCCAAAGCCATGAAGGGGAAAAAGGGAATGAACAGAAATTGATACATCTGGAACAAGAGCCAGGCATGATTTACTCACATTTTTACCTGACCTGAAATTGCTTACTTAGAAAAAAGAAACATTATAAAGACTCAGGAAAATGTCATGAATCAGAGCCAGCATGATTTCACATTGGGGTTCCATAAAGAAACTGTCCAGGAAAATCACATGAGCCAAAGGTAGTCCTGTCACCATGACCATCACCATGGCAACAGTTTCACAGTGTGCTTCCGTGTGATGGCCCTGCCTAGGAGACTCAAACAATTAGGCTTGCAAATGGATGACAACCTGCTGGCTCACTTGAAACTGTCCTTACTAGGGCAGAGGTGAGCACTGACTTGGGAAAATTACAGAGAAGAGACTTTCACCTAAACACTTCTTTATTGCCTCAAAAATGGCTTTGAGCTAACCACATACTACGTCACTGAAACACACAACTACAGGAAGTTACAAAAGAAAAAAAATGTTGATTAAAGCCTTCCATTCTGCTTTCATGGTTCCTTTACCTCGTGTTCTTGGCACTTTATAAGCAATATGAGCACAGTTATGAAGCAATTAGATAATAAATGCTATTCTTATAGCTACCAGCTGGAAGAGACTTTAGAGACCATCAACTTTTTTTCTTCTTCAATTAACTAAACTCCAGGCTTTATTTGAATTTCATCCTTTTTCACATTAAGGTCCTTTTTCTCTGTTCCAGGATTCAATCCAGGACAGCACATTCCATTTAATTGTCATGTCTCCTCTGATTTGTGACTGTTTCTCAGACTTTCTTCTTTGTTTAGTGACCCTGTCAGTCCTTAGGAGTACTGGCAAGGGATCTTGTGGAATGTCCTTCAGTCTGACTTTGTCTGATGTCTTTCACATGAGTAGGATGAGGTTTTGGGTTTTTGGGAAGACAACCACAGGGGTGAAGTGCCCTTTTGATCACATTATATTGAGAGCTGATGACATTACTGTGATATTAACCTCCACCCCTTGGTTAATGTCCTGCTGCCAGGTTTCTCCAGTATAAAGTTACTGTTTTCTTTTTCCTTGTTCTATTCTTTGGAAACAAGTCACTAAGCCTAGGTCATTTTACAGGTGTGTCTTTAGGAAGGGCAGAGACAAGCTTCACATCTTGGAGGGGGGAGTATCTGCATATATTATTTGGAATTCTTCTGGAAGAGAGACTTGACTTTTCTCCCCCATTTCAATTCAATTATTTATTTATACCAATACGTACTCATGTATATTTATTTTATATTTTGACTTACAATCCAATACTATGCTATTTATTTTGTTGATCAACTTGCTCCAACTTCAACCAGTGGGAGCTCCTTCAGGTATGGGCTTCTGCATCCTTTTGACACATTTCCATCTGTTTGTTTGGTGAGCACGGCCTTTTTTGTACTGCAAGGTTTTCCAGGCTCATCTTCTATTTTACCTGCCCTAGCTCTAGCATCAGGTATTTCTCCAAGGAACCCTGGTTCCTTTTGTTCAAGAATGGTGTTTAGAGACCATCAGTTTTTAACTCCTTCATTGGTCAAACAAGGATGCTGAGAGGCGAATAGGGAAATAAATTACCCAGGATGTGATGCTGAGTAAGTGGCAGGCAGGGGTTAGAATCTGGCTCTGACTCCTTGTTCAATAGTCTTTACTCCATCCAGTCTTTGTCATGTGCTTTCCCAGCTACCTGTGTGCTCCTGGAAGGTAGGAAGTATATTTCTTGTGCTTTGTGACATCTCTATTGTGCCTTCTATAGTGTTGAACATAGATCCCAATAAATACAGCATCCTCATTCAGCCTCACTTTTCTCTACCCAGATCAGACCCTCATCAATTCTCCCCTGGACTATTGAAATTTCCACGAATATGGTGTTTTTCTTCTTCTCTAATCCATCCTTCTCACTGTTGCAAAATCAAGAATACAAAAGAATACAAAAGCAGTCCGGCCAGTGTGGTTCATGAGCATCAACCCATGAACCAGGAGGTCACAGTTCAATTCCTAGTCAGAGCACATGCCCGGGTTGTGGGCTTGATTCCCAGTAGGGGGCGTGTGGAAAGCAGATGATTGATGATTCTCTCTCATCATTGATGTTTCTATCTCCCTCTCCCTCTCTCTGAAATCAATAACAACATATTAAAAAAAAAAAGAATGCAAAAGCAGAGTTTCATCATCTGTCACCCAACACCATTTTGTAGAAAAAACCGAAATTCTACATTCTATTCTTTTTTTCCATTTCTCTCAAATTTTGAAGTCTCCTAAGATCATCTTAGCAAATATTACTACATGATATGTTGTACAGAAAGGAGGAACCTCTCAGATATAGTCTTTCTCAGCTTTCATCTTTTCATCACCAATTCCATCTCCATTCTCCACCAACTTTATATTTTTCTTTCCTGTTCCAGAATAAGTCCCTACTTTTTCATAGGTTTTATCCAGTGCTCTTGAGTCTCATTTTTCTGGAATAGTGCTCCATTAGTTATCATCTTTGAGACTTACATTTCTATTCTGTCGTTTTTGACTGACTCATTCCATTCAACATGTTTATAGGCTGAATTCTTTTCCACCCTAAAAAATAAAAAACCTTCAAAAATCTTCCCTTGCCCTTTCTTCTTCACGTCCCAGGATTTCTCCTTTCATTCACCATCATCTTACTCAAAAGAAAAGGTCTCCACTCACAGTTGCAACTTTCATTTTACTACCGACTGGTTAGATTTATCCCACCTGGATTCAAATCCCCCACCATGATCTGATCATCAACAGTATCCCTTTGTCTTGAATGATCTTTTTAAGATTTTTAATAACTTCATCAGGCATGGTCACAGTAGAAAACAGCACATTAAAGGGTGTAATCTTAACAAAGGGAATTTTAGTGAAGTGAAATAACCCTGCAGGGAGGTGAAAGGAGCCAAAGGAGTGGTGAGGTGTCCAGGGATTAGCCAGAGCAGAAAAGACCTGCAACAATAAGTGGAAAGAGGAGTGTTACCAGAAACAAACAAAACCTGGAGCAATCTGATAGGAGCTGTGGCCTTAGTTGAGGAACACCAGCCTCTGCCAAAGCCACTGGCCAGCAGAAAGAAGAGGAGGAATTCCTTACTTGCCTCTACTCTTACCCTTTGATGTCCTGCTGATGTCTCCCATTGGTTAACCCAAACTTAAGAAAGGGCAAGAAAGCCCAGAAAATGCAGTTTGTAGAGAGCAAGGCAGAGAAGGGTGGATAATGGATTTGGGGGTTGGAGAAGCAAACAGAATAAACAGCATCGTCACTTATCTGATTTAACATTTGGGAAGAATGTTAAATTTACGCTCACTTAAAGTGTTCCCACTCTCTGATCTGGTTTCTTTCAATAATGCATTCATTTAAAAGAATAATGTGCACCTACTATGATGAGAGCACTGTGCTAGACACTGGAGATCCAGCGGTAGAGAGACAAGTACCATCCCTTCCTTCAGGAACCTTATGTTTAGTCTACTCCACCAGCTGGTCTCTGAGCCTCCTCATTTGATGTTGGTGTTCCTCAAAATTCTCTCATGGGGTTTCTCCTCTGTGGAACCCTACTCATTAAGGGCTTTCGTTCTCACCTCTATGCAAGGACTTCCCTATCTCTGTTCTAAACTCAGCCTCTTTGGCTTATTAGCAAAGGATTCAAGGCCCTCAATATACTGACCTTAACCCTTTTACTCCTTTCTTTCTCTTACATTCTCTATGCTCCTCCCACCTAAAGGATCCAAGTCAGGGTTTTTGTTTCATTGTGTTTTAATATAATCTGTTTTATTCCCTGATGTAGCTCAGATGCCTATAATAGTATCTGACACATAATGGACACTGAATAAATATTTATTAAACAATGACTGCATTGCTTCCATGGAATCAGATTACTTTCTACTCCCCAAACATATGACCTTGCTTATTTCTGTCTCTTTGCCACATAAATTTTCTTGCATCATCTCCACCATTGGTAATCAAATCTTCCTTCAAGACCCACCCAACTCAAATATTTCCTCTATGAGCCCTCTTAGATACTGCCTAATTAGAATTAATCCATTTTACCATTATTTTCTAAGCTTAGGTAATATAAGAAGGTAATACAAGTACTGCCATTATACCTTATTTATATTTCTGCTTCATCACTACTATATCATGCCATATATTTTAGTTAGATATATATTTTTTATCCAGCTTTATTGAGATATAATTGACAAATAAATATTGTACATTTTAAGGTGTACAATATAATTTTTTACATTGTGAAATAATTACCATAATCAAGCTAATTAACATATCCATCACCTCACACGGTTATGATTTTTTAAAATGGTGAGAACACTTAGATTAACTTTTTAAAGAAAAATTCAAGTATACAATACGGTATTATTAACTATAGTCACCATGTTGTACACTAGATTTTTAGAACTTACTCATCCCACTGAACTTTTATACCCTTTGACCAATATTTCTTATCTCCTCCCACAACAATGCTAGTTACCTAGGCTACTTATTCATTGTTATCCATCCCCCACCTCTCCACAGAGCCTGTCAAAGTGCTTTGTTAAATTTAAAAAGATAAGCATGAAGTCATAACCCAAATTTACAAATTAGCCTCTCCCAGTCATTTAAAATATTTAACATCTGTTCATATGCATTAGTAATGTGTGTAAAAATTCCAGGTGCCTCCTTGGCAGGAAAGTGAGGTGGTATTGCATCTTTCATTTGGTAGCCCCTGAGTCCCAGGAGGTATAGCTGAGAGGCCAACGTCAGGTGGCACAATGAAATGCACTTCAAGGCTCTGCTATTAACCAGCCCTCAATTAGAATGGCCTTCTGAATCTTTAACACTGATGTCATACAAGCCTATCTGTGCTCTGAAATTTACATGACTCAGCTTTAATGAACTCAATTATGTTAATAGGGAGCCACATTGATCCAGCTCCATATCATTATGAAAACTGATTTTTGCAGAAAAAAAATTATATGAAAATAGAATAGATACATACAGAGATCCAGAATAAGTTTCCAATTAATTTCTATGTATTGAGAACAATCATCTCAGGCTACATGGAGATAATTGAGGTTTGTTTGTAATGATTCAGCTGTCCCTATTTTTCTTTTAAATCCTCACCCAAGGATATGGTTTTTAAAAAATTCTTTATTGTTGAAAGTATTACATATGTCTCCTTTTCTACCCATTGACCTCTCCCAGCCCACTCCCTCCCCACAGCACAGGCCTTCACCCTCTTCCTCCTACTGATTTTAGAGAGAAACATCATTGGTTGTGAACTGTACCCTCCCTGATGGGGGATCAAACTCACAACCTAGGAATCGTACCCTGACTGGGAATTGAACTCACAACCTTTTTGGTGTATGGGATGATGCTCCAACCAACTGAGCCACCTGGTTGGGGCCACCTGGCTGGGGCCACCTGGACCTATTTTTAAATCTATTCATCATGCCCTGTGAGTTAGGGATCAACAGCCAAATCCAGGTTGGACTTGAGCAAACCCAGTCTGGCTCCCTTCTTTATACCCCTACTAACATGTGGTGAGGATCCTGCTTCTTCTTCTCTCTCTCTCTCTGGTTTTGATCTTGCCTCCTGATCTAGAGTGATTGTAAAGACTAGAGGCACACACAGAGCATGAGGAACATATACAAGCAGTTAACTCCTCTGAATTCTAGAATACAAAAATTCCCCACTGCCATCAGCTTGCAGAAAGTTAGAAATGAGAACTGTAGCCTCCCAAGGACAACTATGAACTTCCCACTTAAAACTGAATGATGAGGAAACAAAGATAGTGTGATTTAACACTGGCCAGCTCTTTGCCAAACCCATTCACTTTTCTTCCTAGGTGGGCAGTGGGAGTAAGTTTTCCAGACTCCTTTAAATCTGTGTCTTATAATTGGCTCTCATCCAGTGCAATCTGAGTAGTAATGACATATACTACTTCACTATCTGGCCATAAAATTTCCTGTGCTTCAACCTCCATGATTTTTCCCTTGCACAGTGTGAGGCAGATGGGCATAGTAACTTGGAAGCCACATGTTGAAGATGGCAGACATGAGACTGAGAAGGAATTGGCGTACTTAACTTGAATCACAATTTGGATAAGAACTGGCTAGTGCTTAAGGATACCTCTTTTAGACTTTATGGGGTAATTCTATCACTTTTGGGGTTATAGAAGGTAATGTTATGTTATCTAAAAAGAGGAAGAATCAAGGGAGAGGATAATAAATAGAAGGGTGGAATAAATAGGTGTAAAGATTATAATACAGGGTGATATATATTGGATTTTATTCTACATTAGTTCACATAGTTGGAGTAGCTGCTTAGCTAAGTTCCTCCAGAAAGAAAAACACCTTATTGGTAAAAAAAAAAAAAAGTATAAGTTGATTTTTTTATTAATTTGTTTAGGCTTGGTCACTCATGGTCAGGATGTGAGAAGGACAATTCAACAACAAAAACACATTCATGAGTCTCAGACTAAGCAGTGTAATCTGCATACATATGTAGGAAAGAAATATCCCTCTAAGGGAGTATTTCCAGAAATACATTGTTGTCTCCTTTTTCATTATTGTGAAAAGCAGTTTAACTGCTTTAGAGTCTCACTGATCCAAGTGTCTCTTTTCCAGGAAAGGTATTCGCTCTTTGTTTGCTATGTAAATTTTTTGAGGGAAAGTTATCCAAGGTCAAAGGGATGCACTACCTAAAACTTTATGTGAAGTCTCCACTTTCCAGGAGGCAAAAAAATACTTAAAACTTCTAGTTTTTTTCAGACTTTATACAAGGAGGAAATCAAAACATTTATGGTTAGATCTGAGATGCATATTGTACACACAGTATTCTTTCAAACTAACTTTTTTTTTTTTGAGTGGTGAGATTTAACTTTGGCCATGACATTCATATTGTTATTCCCTTTGCAAAGATACTCAGAATTCACTATTGCAAAAAAAATTTGGCAGAGAGAGATTCTAATTGTACCAGAATATGTGAGATAAAAGTGGGAACTTTATGAAGTATTTTGAGATGAATTCTACTGAAATCAATATCATTCATGAGATAAAATGTAGAAATCGATATGAATTATTGGCCAAGAGTTTTGGTCTCACCTTCTGGAATAGTAGGTACATGTGCTGAGTTATACTGAGTAGCCTGCCATGTACAATACTACTTTATAATCTTTCCAATATCAGAATCAGTTCCAGGCCACTGGACAAAGCTACAAGCCAAGGCTTTTATGTGAGCAATTCCTAAGTGTGCTGCATGAAGCATAGCCAAGGAAATGTGGTGACCACTCTCTGCAGGATCAGCATAATTACTCCATAAAAGACCTTCTTTATGATCAAATAACTCATAGTGATTAGTTTTGAAGAACTTGAATTTATTTACTAACTTCCTTCTTTATACCTAATTGAAGATACAGACCAGTATGGTAACAAATCTAGATTTGTGCTAATACAACTAATAATAAAGAGAGGAAGGAAACCGACATATGCCCACAAAGTACCAGATGCCTTTCTCAGTGTTTATCCCTTATGTTAATTAATTTAAACACTAAAAAAATTCCAGCATCTGGAATTTGGTGACCAAATACTACTTTAATACTACTTCTATTATTATTACCTGCTTTTACTCTGTGGATGCTATGACCAGGCACTAGACTAAGTGTGTTACCTTTTTATTTCATTTATCTCTTTTAACAACCTTTCGGGTAGATATAATTTTTGTTCTTATGTTAAGGTATTTTTCCAAGATTATGTAACTTTGAAGGTCTTAAAATTCAACCTACACAACCTCTGGGTATCATTATAGAGTGAGATTCAATGCTATTTGATATTTTAGACAGTCTCTTCATACGAGTAATTTCAAAGCTTCTGGAATTCTTTTAACAGTGGGAAATCAAGTAGTATAGCTATATCTGCTTGACTTTTATGAAAAATAAATACAGTCAGAAAGAGTAGCACAGGGAAGTTTGATGCTTTTGCTTTGTTTTTCTAATAAACACAAGATGGAGTTCATGGACATTTTTCTCCTTATCTTTTTTTTTTTTTTTAATTAAATCTTTATTGTTCAGGTTACATTTGTTCCTCTTTTTTTCCCCCCCATAACTCCCCTCCTCCCAGTTCCCGCCCCACCCTCCGCCCTCACTCCCCACCCACTGTCCTCATCCATAGGTGCACGATTTTTGTCCAGTCTCTTCCCGCATCTCCCATTTCCCTTTCCCCCCCAAGAATAGTCAGTCCATTCCCTTTCTATGTCCCTGATTCATTATAATCACCAGTTCATTCTGTACATCAGATTATTTATTCACTTGATTCTTAGATTCACTTGTTGATAGATGCATGTTTGTTGTTCACAATTTGTATCTTTACCTTTTTCTTCTTCCTCCTCTTAAAGGATACCTTTCAGCATTTCGTATAATACTGGTTTAGTGGTGATGAACTCCTTTAGCTTTTCCTTATCTGTGAAGCTCTTTATCTGACCTTCAATTCTGAATGATAGCTTTGCTGGATAAAGTATTCTTGGTTGTAGGTTCTTGGTATTCAGCACTTTGAATATTTCTTGCCATTCCCTTCTGGCCTGCAAAGTTTCTGTTGAGAAATCAGCTGACAGTCGTATGGGTATTCCCTTGTAGGTAATTGAGTCTCTTTCTCTTGCTGCTTTTAAGATTCTCTCTTTGTCTTTTGCTCTTGGCATTTTAATTATGATGTGTCTTGGTGTGGTCCTCTTTGGATTCCTTTTGTTTGGGGTTCTCTGCGCTTCTTGGACCTGTAAGTCCATTTCTTTCACCAGGTGGGGGAAGTTTTCTGCCATTATTTCTTCAAATAGGTTTTCAATATCTTGCTGTCTCTCATCTTCTGGCACCCCAATTATTCTGATGTTTGTACGCTTGAAGCTGTCCCAGAGGCTCCTTACACTATCTTCGTATTTTCGGATTCTTTTTTCATTTTGCTTTTCCGGTTGGGTGTTTTTTGCTTCTTCGCATTTCAAATCTTTGGCTTGATTCTTGCGCTCCTCTGGTCTGCTATTGGGTGTCTGTATAATATTCTTTATTTCAGTCCGTGTATGCTTAATTTCTAGTTGGTTCTTTATCATAGCATCGAGGGTCTCATTAGTTTTCGTGACTCTCTCCTCAAGTTTATTGACAGCTTCTAGCACATTTTTGCAAGCCCTCAAAATTGCGATTTTTAGCTCTATATCCTCCATTTCTGTCATGTTTTTTTGTCTCCGCATTTTTTATGCTTTCTTGGTGCACCCCCTAGTGGTCTTTGTGCGCAGTCTTGTTCTAGTTGAGCCTTGATTGTTGTAGTTAATACTAGAGGGATTTGACCACCAGGCCGACTGGCTGTGAGAATCAGCTGTGTCTGCTGCAGTGGGAAAACTTCTGTCCTCTGGGGGGGCGCTAATCTAGCCTTTGCCTGCGGCGATCCGGCAAATGGCTCTGCGCAGGGCTTGGGCGGGGCGGGCTCAACAGGGCGGGCGGAGGGAGCCGTTATGGTGCCCTCAGTCCTGTTCCCAGAGGCTCTGCTTCTCAGAACCCCCGGAACCGCTGCAAACCTCGGAGGGAAAGCTGCCTTCCAACTGATGCCAGACACTCCCGCTTCTCCCGTTTGGGTCCGAGTCCCCAGCGATTCGCCCGTATCTGGAGCTCAGAGTCTGAGACTCCCCCCTGACCGAAAACGACAACCGCGCTCTCAGCCACCAGCCCGCTTTGCGCGCGCACCTCCGCACCTGAGTTTTTTCCACACTGCGCCTCCTCTGAGCCTCGGTGTGCTGTTATTTTTCCTTCTAGTTGAAGAGTCTCTCCTCAGCCAGCCTTCCTGTGGTTCTGGGTGATGTCCGTTCCGTCTTTTAGTTGTATTTTTGAAGTGGTTGTTTGCGGCAGCAGTCTGCGGTGTTTACCTATGCCGCCATCTTGGTCTCTCTGCTTTTTCTCCTTATCTTAACTTAAAATATGTTTTAAGATATTGAAAAATGTACTTACAGTTCTAGTAAATTAATGGACTATATAATCTGTAAATCCATCTAATAAAAAATATAGAAATGCTAGATAAAATATAGCGTATGCTCTTTTGAAGTCATGGCTTAGAACAGACAATCCACAGGTGCCAGAATCAGAAGAGAGCCTGAAAACCAGGGAGGAGCCCTGGCTGATTGCACAGTGGTTAGAGCATTGACCCGAGGACCAAAGGGTCTCGGGTTCGATTCATGGTCAAGGGCAGGTAGCTCCACGGCAAGCTTGATCCCTGGCCCCATTAGGGGTACGTGCAGGATGCAAACCAATAGATGTGTCTCTCTCACATTGATGTCTCTCTCTCTCTCTCTCTCTCTCCCCCTTTCCCACCCTCCCTCCCTCCCTCCCTCTCTCTCTCTTTCTCTCCTCCCCCTAACCCTCTCTCCCGCTCCTCCCTCCCCTCTACTCTAAAAAAATCAATGGAAAAAATATTCTCACAAGGGGATTTAAAAAAATAACAGTGGGAAAAGAAAAAATGGTAGAAGGTGTGTCT